GCGCCCCTGCCCCCTCTGCCCTCCCCTCCTCCCGCCCACCCCACGGAGCCAAGGGCAGAGCGGGGCCACGGTGGCCGCCGCGAGGCCCTCGCACCGTCGCGCCCGAGACCGAGCGCGCGGCCCAAGCCCTCGCGGCGAGCTCTGCGCGCCCCCCCCCCCCCCCCCCCCCAGGATGCCTACCCCAGGCCTCCCCCATTAGGCCTACCCCCCAGGCCTACCCCAGGCCCCCCCCTAGGCCTACCCCCTGGGCCTATCCCAGGCCAACCCCCTAGGCCTAGCCCCTCGGTCCCTAGGCCTACCCCCTAGGCCTACCCCCTAGGCCTACCCTAGGCCTACCCCCTGGGCCTGCCCCCCGCGCTGGGCGCGCAGGCGATCGCGCCCCGCGGAGCCTGGCCCAGAGAGGCCGCGCCTCCTCTAGGGGGGGGGGGCGGGCGCGGGGGCGCTGAGGCAGTCGCGCCTCAGCCCGGGGCGAGGCGCGCGAGCTCGGGAAGCGTGGTCGATGGGCATGTTTTCCACCACCACCACCACCATAAGTTGGCGGGGGGAAGGGGTCCTCCTCCCCCTCGTCTTCCTCCTCCTCCTTCTACTTCTCCTCCTCCTCCTCCTCCTCCTCCTCCTCCTACTCCTACTCCTACTTCTCCTCCTCCTACTTCTCCTCCTCCCCCCCTCCAACTTATGGTGGTGATAGGTCCGGCCAGAGCGCCGGATCCTCTTGTAGCTCTGGTAGCAGACCAATCTCAGACATCTCGATACTGTAGGCGACTTTATTTGATGATTTCCATATTGAACGGTGATCCTGCAGGGCCAGGGCTGCACTGACCAGCAGGATCTGGCAGGATTCGGCAGCGCCGGACTGACCTGGGTTTGCATTGACCCGGGTCAGTGGATCCCCGAGGGAGGACTTCCAGACGTGTGGTGCCCTGAGTTTTGTTCCCAAGGAGGCTTGCCTAAGGAAGGGTTGCTTACTTGGTTAAAGGTTGGTGCTTCCGATCGTTAACTTGCCCGTTTCTCGGAGGTTCATCGGTTTGCTCGGGTTCCCCACCCCCAGTGCCTCCTATTGTTAGGTTGCCCGTTTCCCGGAGGTTCTTCGGGTTCCCCGATCCCGGTGCCTCCTACTGTTACAGCAATGCCAAGCAAGGCCTAGCAAGGCCAAGAAGGCCAAGCAAGGCCAAGCAAGGCCAAGCAATGCCATGCAATGCCAAGCGATGCCAAGCAATGCCAAGCGATGCCAAGCAGTGCTAAGCAGTGCCAAGCAGTGCGCCTAATCAAAATGCTCTCCCCTAATTTGAACTGCGATATGTTCATTCCACACGGGGCCCCCGGCAGTCCCGGCCCTCCCCCAGGGACGGTGTTGCATCCCTGGCCCTGGCAGGATTGAGTCGGGCCTGTCCCTCTGCAGGGGCAACATTCAAAATGATAAAAAATAGTTGCGGGGTGATTTTTCATCATTTTTGAACATTTCCCAACCAACCTATGTTGTTGGGTCCTCGTTTTGAAGAGACGGTCCCCGCGCTCCCTCCTTCCTTCCCTCCTGTCTTTTTCCTCCTCCCCCTCATCCTCCTCCTCCTACTCCTCCTCCTCCTCCCGTTCCTCCCTCATTTCGTGGCCCCATAGGGAGCTCCACCGAAGGCTCCAGTGGGACCGCCCGCATGCGTCATCCACCAGCCAGTACAGCGTTTCGTGGCCCCATAGAAAGCTCCACCGCAGGCTCCAGTGGGACCGCCCGCATGCGTCATCCACCACCCAGTACTGCCTTTCGTGGTCCCATGGGACTGCCCGCATGCGTCATCCACCACCCAGCACAGCGCTTCGTGACCCCATAGTGGGCTCCACCGAAGGCCCCAGTGGGACCGCCCGCATGCGTCATCCACCACCCAGCATAGCATTTCGTGGGGAGCTCCACCGAAGGTTCCAGAGGACCGCCCGCATGCGTCATCCACCACCCAGTACTGCGTTTCGTGGCCCCGCATGCGTCATCCACCACCCAGCACACCACTTCGTGGTTCCATGGGAGCTCCACCGAAGGGCCCGGTGGGACCGCCCGCATGCGTCATCCACCACCCCTCACAGCGCTTCGTGACCCCGTAGGGAGCTCCACCGGAGGCCCCAGTGGGACCGCCCGCATGCGTCATCCACCACCCAGTACAAAGCTTCGTGACCCCATAGGGAGCTCCACCGAAAGCCTCAGTGGGGCCGCCCGCGCCCGTCATCTACCACCCAATACAGCGCTTCGTGGCCCCATAGGGAGCTCCACCGAAGGCCGCAGTGGGACCGCCCGCATGCGTCATCCACCACCCAGCACACCACTTCGTGGTTCCATGGGAGCTCCACCGAAGGGCCCGGTGGGACCGCCCGCATGCGTCATCCACCACCCAATACAGCGCTTCGTGACCCCATAGGGAGCTCCACCGAAAGCCCCAGTGGGACCGCCCGCATGCGTCATCCACCAGCCAGTACAGCGTTTCGTGGCCCCGTAGGGAACCCTACCGAAGGCCCCAGTGGGACCGCCCGCATGCGTCATCCACAACCCAGCACACCACTTCGTGGTTCCATAGGGAGCTCCACCGAAGGCTCCAGTGGGACCGCCTGCGTGCGTCACCCACCACCCACTAAAGCGTTTCGTGGCCCCATAGAGTGCTCCACCGAAGGCCCCAGTGGGACCGCCCGCGTGCTTCATCCACCACCCAGTACAGCGCTTCGTGACCCCATAGGGGGGTCCACCGAAGGTTCCAGTGGGACCGCCCGCATGCATCATCCACCACCAAGTACAGCGTTTCGTGTCCCCACAGGGAGCTCCACCTCATGTCTCCGTGGCGGAACTCGCATGGCGGCCCAGTGACGGAGCTCGCATGGCGGCGACTTTGGATTTCCGGAGGTTCCTCGTCGTATTCGACGTATTGAGGCCGCTTTCGGGCCGCGCATCCCGGGCGGGAGTCAGCCTGCTCGCTCTCTCTGTTCCGCGCGGCGGACGACCCGTGCGCGTCGCCAGGACCCCTTCGGGGCGACCAGCGCGCGTCGCAGCGCCGCGCCCGCAGCCTTGGACGTGGGCGTGCACGGGCAAAGAGGGGGAAGCAGAACGGGAAGGAAGCGGGCGCGATCCTCGTGAGAGGCGCGCCGACATGGGCGTCGACATTTATGCACGTAGACTCACGCGCGCGCAGACTCATCCACAATCAGATCACACGCTCTCAGTCTCTCGCACACAGACCTATCGTCTTCGCTCGCGTTGTGTGCTCCGCCACGCATGTCGGCGCGCCCTTCACGCGGTTCGCGGCCCCATAGGGAGCGCGGGCGAATCTATGTATATATGTGTGTGTGTAGTCAGACTTGCGGTGTTCACAGCTGCATACGGTCGGGTCCTTCGCCAGGTTAATGTTGAGTATGTTTAAGGTATTTTCAAATTTTCGCACAACATCCGTTTGTAGGGGGACACGCCCGACCGAACGGTATAGTCGAAATGGGTGCGGAAAAAATGGGTACGATGACCGACATTAGTTCCTGCTGATTCTCCAATGAAGCTCGCCTGCGGGGTTACTGCTTGGTGGAAAGGTTGGCGCCTCCTAGTGTTACTTTGCCGGCTGCCCAGAGGTTCCTCGGGTTCCTCGGGTTCCCCTCCCCGGGTGCCCCCTACTTCCTGAATTTAGCTTGCCAAGTGGGTTCTTACAAAGCTGGTGCCTCCTATTGTTACTTTGCCCGTTCCCTAGTTCCCCAGGGTTCCCCGAATTCCCCGGTTTCCCCGGGTTCCCCCGCCCCCAGTGCCCCATGCCAAGCAATGCCAAACAATGCCAAGCAATGCCGAACAATGCCAAGCAGTGCCAAGCAATGCCAAGCAACGTCAAGCAATGTCAAGCAATGTCAAGCAATGCCAAGAAATGCCACGCAATGCCAAGCAATGCAACGCAAAGCCAAGCAATGCCAAGCAATGCGCCAATGCAGTAGGAAAGTTCCCTTAATTTGGGTCGCGCCGGGCTCATTTTGAACATGACTCGTTGGCGATGCCGCCGCGTGCGCTGTCCATTTCAAGAAGAAGGTTGCCTGCCCAACAGCGGCCGCTGTCCATATTGGACAACACTTGATGCTGGCATCGTATTCAGTTTTTCCGTACCCATTCGGGGTGTCCACATGGTCGTTTTGTGACGGCCCTTGCGGCCTGGAAGGGGCCTTCGGGGCTGAGAATTGCCAGACACTTCCGGTCGTGATCTTGTCCACGACGCGAGCATTTCTGGGCTGGCCCCCCCTCCCATCCTGCCGTCCAGCGCCTGCAGCTGTCCCCTGGCCAGGTCTCGACGACGCGGGCCGTGCAGATGGGCATTCTGCACGCGGACGGCGCGGTGGGCCTTGCCGCCTCTTCCTGCCACGCGTGGGTTGGTGTGTACCCTCCGGTGAGCGATGCTCCCTCGCCTTCTCGCGCTCCGTCCCGGCCTCCCCTTCCGTCTTGACACACTTCGGGGGCGGCAAAGAGGGGGATGATGATTAGGGGGGGGTGGATATCATGGCGTGGACCATGATGCCTCCCCAGATTTCATGGGGCTTTTTCTTATTCCATTACGTCCTTGGCCCCGCCCATGGGCCGCGCACATGCCGCCAGCCATGATTTGCACCCCCCCCTCTAGGACGCCCCCGAACACTCCAGCTGCAGAGCCAGCGATCCTCCGAGTCAGCCTCATGTGCTGAGGCCTGCTGCCTCTCACGCCTTGCCCCAAAGGGGGCACGAGCGTGCTCGTCAGAGCTTGCTCGACTCGGCGTTCCGTTCCCGTGCCTCGTCCTTGCACCCCAAGAAACGTGTCTGGGTCTTCCAGGCAGCCCGGAGCGGCTACCAAGAGGTTCTCCAGATGGGCCAAGGCAGCCCCAGCAGGGCCATTTGGAAGACCCCACAACGGCAAAGCTCATGAATTGTCACGTTTGCCATTCATATGTTAGATTCATATGTCAGCTGCGAATGGCCAAGACGGTCCAAGATGCCGCCAACGTGAACCCCCAAGACGGTCGAAAAGCACCCCAAAAGGACACCAGGAGGTGTCCAAGTCAGCGAAAGAGGGCCCCAAAGAGGTCTCAAGGAGAGCGTCAACGGGCGTCCAGAGGAACCCCAGAGGGGAAGTATGGCCCTAAGAGGTTGCAAAAGTGACCCAAGAGAATGCCAATGCAGTCCAAGACAGCCCAAGGGGGCCCACGGTGACCTCAAGGTGGCTTGTGGAGGCCACGAGAGTGGCAAGCCGCGGGAGACGCCAAGGAGGCCGCAAGAGGCTCCAGGAAGGTTTGAGGGGAGCGTCCAGCACGCTCTCGTGGAACCTTCGGGGAGGCAGTGGGAAACCAAATCCTGCAGTACATGTTTTGTTGTTTCTGTTGAAGTTGTTGGTGCATGTGCTTTTCGGACCTTCTCAACATCAGGCGCCCCGGCGGTGCCAGCAGGCCCCCCCCCAAAAAAAAAACCGCTCCGGGGGCGCCGCACGAGGGCCCCAGCGCGGCCCCCGACACCCCAGCCCAACCCGAAGGCCTCAAGTTGCCCTGCGATTCCATTGGGGGGGGTCGGGGAACACTGAAAAAACACCCAGAGCCCGTACCCCCCCCAACCCGAAGTTCGTGTCAAGTTTTCGGGTCTTCGTGTTGGGTTGGGGTGGTCTGTTGGGTGGTCAACCAGGAGGGCCGAAGAGCTCATCCCAAGACGGACCCAAGGACGGGACAAGAGCGCCCCGAGACGTCCCAATGAAGGCTCCGAGACGGGCCCAGGAGAACCCACGAGAGCTCGAGGTGGCCCCAAGAGGCAGCAGGAGCCAGCCCCGGGGAGGACGCGCATGGCCGAGGAACACGGTCGTTCTTTGATGCTCTTTGAGTTGCGCGCCGAGTGGAGCACATCCACCATGCGATTTGGTTTGCGCGCCGAGTGGATCACATCCACTGGGCGGGCAACCGCTTGTCTGGCTTAGGGTCGCTGCCGCATGGGACACGCCCAGTTTGCCACACCTGGGAGGGAAAACCAAGAGAGGGAGACGCGAGAGCTTGCGGAAAGGAGGGTGCAGGGTTAGGGGCGATCGGGGTTTATCGCTTAGCGTCCGTAGGGACGTGGAGAGGAGGGGGCATCTTCAGCTCATTGCGCGATCCGATGCTGCAAGCCCTAGCCTGTGGCCACAGCTTGGGTCGATCCTGAGCGCGCGAAGCGGAGAGGGGCTCTCGCTAATATGTTCAAGGTCCCGTACGAGCACGAGGTCCTGTCCGATATTGCACGCGGAGTGGAACATTGAAACGATTTCCATCATTGTCCTTGGTGGTGGTGACGATATTGCTGCAGTGGCCAAGCACCGATAAACGCGGCAGAGAGAGAGAAATAAAAGAGAGGGGCACAGTGAACGAGAGAGAGAGAGAGAGTGAGAGAGAGAGAGAGTGAGAGAGTGAGAGAGAGACAGAGAAAAAAAAAAAAACGAGAGATGTAGAGAGGGAGAGAGAGAGAGAGCAATAGAGAGAGAGAGGATGCACGAAAGGAGAGGAGTGCACGACGGGCAAGGTCGAGAGGCGAGGCGGGCGGAGCGAAGGAGGGACGAAGACACGGGGGAACGACCGAGGAGACGCGAGCGAGGATCCCAGGCGCCGCAGGGCCCTGTTCGCATCGAGGATTATCGCAACGCTGTTCGGATATGGATCCAGGGAGGTGAAGGACGCCATCGTGAAGGTGGGCGCCAAGGTCGAGAGCGATCTGCAGGACGATGTCTCTTCAGAGTTGTATTGTATAGCTTTCTGTGCAGGTCGTCTCTCTGTATTTGCAGCCCTGCGCTCACTCCTTGGTCCTGTCTCTCGCCAGTTGTGCGCAGGGCCATCAGGAGATCAGGAGTATCAGAGAACATCTTCTGGCGATGGAATCGCTTCATTGCTTCCAGGTCGCCCAAGTTGGGTCCGAGCAGACGGGATAGGAGGATCTCGCCGCATCGCCGAAGCACCCGCGTCGCGGCGCGACCTGCAGTCCGGCTTCCTCCGTCCCGGCATTGCGGATCCGGCGCCCGTGTATCGATGATGCGGTGCGGTGCGCCGTCCTCCTCTTCTCCGACCCCATTTGGGCGGCCTCCATGCTGCAGATGGCGAGTGGTGCTCGCTGTGCGGGCGTGCCCCGTCTCAGGCAGGAGGCGGCCTCCCGATGCTGCGACCCCTCTTGCGCAGGCGCGGCCCGCGGAGGGGCCCCCTGTCCCTCCGCCGTGCGCGGCTGGGCCCTCCTCCGGCGCGGCAGGGCAGGAGGAGCTCGAGGCGGAGGAGAATTCGAGGTGGAGGTGAGGGGTGCCTCGCAGCAGAGCGTCGATCGCCTCGGTGTTGGTGCGCGCTCGGCGTCCCCGTGGCTCCCACGGTGCCGAGCCTCGGGCCTCGAAGAGGCGCCAGAGGCACCAGTGAGGGCTCCCCACCCTCCGTCTGCGCCTGTACATCCCACGCCTCGCTGCCGCCCTCCTTGCGGGGGGAGGAGAAAGAGGAGTCGTGTGGACCATGAGGGGCAGGAGGAGGAGGAGGAGGAGGAGGAGGAGGAGGAGCACGCTGTGCAGAAAGCGGGCGGAGGAGCAGGGAGAGCAGGATGAATTGACGGACGAGGGAGATGAGGAGAGAGAGGGAGGATGGGAATACGAGGAGGAGGAGGAGGAGGAGGAGGAGGAGGTCGAGCAGGCTGAGTAGAATCCGGAGCAGCAGGCAGAGCAGGATGAACCGATGGACGAGGGGGATGAGGAGAGGGAGGATGGGATTACGAGGAGGAGGAGGAGGAGCAGCAGCAGCAGCAGCAGCAGCAGCAGCAACAGCAGGAGCAGGAGGAGCAGGAAGATCAGCAGACGCAGGAGGGGCTGGATACAGCAGGGTGAGGACGAGGATGACAGGGAAGAGGCGAGCTATCCTGGGGTCACTATGATCATACCGTGGCGGTGAGGGTAGGGGGGAGAGCGGAGTGAGGAGTGAAGGGAAGGCTGACTGATCGGTTGAAGGTGAACGTGGATATGTGCCGCGCGAGCCGCACTGACGTTACGAGGGCTGATCCCACAAAGGCACAAGGCGAACGGTTCCGGGAGGAATAATGAGAAGGTGTGCAGATGGAGCAGGGAATATGTAAGTGCCACTCTGGTTGCACTTTGTTTCGAGGCCATGCAGCCGCTGTTCAGCGCAGCTCGGGCCGCTGGGCACAAGTCCAGCGAGGCGGACCTGACGCTGGAGTCTGCGCTGGCAGGCACGGCTCTTTGAGGTCAGCGGGGGCGAAGGAGGGGTGGATCTCCAGCGAGCCTCGAGAGTGCGTTGGGCACGTGGCGTACGGCCTCTCTATTTTGGAGGGCGGTACTCTTGTACCACAACCCCCGCAGCCGCGGATGGGAGCGAGCCTCACCTTTCCCCCCCCCCCCGTACGCATCGGATAGAGATTTCCAGCAAATCCGACAATGCGAGGCAGGATCCGATTTTTCTTATAGAAACTAAATGTCGGCTGCGATCCCAGGCGAGCAGTGAGAGGGGGGGCCTTCTCAGAAGCCCTCGCGCCATTCGAGAAGCCTTATGAGCTGGCTCCGAAGGCACAGACAACTTCCCGGGAGCCCTTGCGCCTTCTGAGAAGCCCCGCCGCCTTCTGAGAAGGCCTGCTCTCTCTCTCACCTCCCCCCCTGGGCTCGCCGTCGGCGATGGAAGCATGTGCCGGCGGCGATGGGCACTGCGGCCCGCCCGGGCCCCGTCTCAGAGGAGGGACGCCGAGGCCAGCCCAGCGCGAGGCCACGGCGCGCTGGAAGCCTCCGGCGCGGGGGCGGGGGCCCGAAAGGGCAGCGTGCGAGCCGCGGCCCCCAGGCTCGGCCGCGTGCACGGCCGTCAGCGCCCCGCGCGCGGCTCCTCGCCCAGCCTCGCTCCGACGGTGCGGCCGCCCCGCTCGGTGGAGGGGGCCGCGAGCTGCACATCTGCGCCGGCTCCTGGCCAGGCTCGGGGGCGGAGAAGCACGCCCGCATCCGCAGCCTCCCCAAGCATGATCCCGTCGTGAAAAAGTCCGGACGGCAAGTTTTACGCTATTTTCGGCCCCTGGGGGCCCTCGCTAGGCCCCGGGACCGTCAAGAAACGACGCAGGATGACCAACCGGCCCTGGGGGAAGGCGTCTCGGTTTCTGAACGTTCCCGTCGTTTTTGTGTTGTCTTGAGACCGATCGTTTTGAAAGGCTTCGCTGAACATCGTTGCCCACAGCCGCGGTGGTTTGCCCAAGACCATCCTTTGATCTCCCTCCTTCAACCTCGGTGCCCCACCCTTTTTTCCGTTATCCCTCTATCTCTCTGTCTCTGTCTCTTCTCTCTCTCTCTCTCTGTCTCTCTCTCTCTCTCTGTCTCTCTCTCTCTCTCTCGTCCTCCTTCTCCCGTTCCTCCTCCTCCTGGGGGCTTAGAAAACTTGGCCAGGCGTTGGTTTTTCTGGTTTTTCTGGTCTGGGAGCTCAGAAAACCTAGCCAGGCGTTGGTTTTTCTGGTTTTTCTGGTCTGGGGGCTCAGAAAACCTGGCCAGGCGTTGGTTTTTCTGGTTTTTCTGGTCTGGGAGCTCAGAAAACCTAGCCAGGCGTTGGTTTTTCTGGTTTTTCTGGTCTGGGGGCTCAGAAAACGTGGCCAGGCGTTGGTTTTTCTGGTTTTTCTGGTCAGGGAGCCCACAAAACCTGGCCTGGAGGTTGGGGGCTTGCGAACTACTGCCGTCAGACCAGAAAAACCATAAAAACCAACGCCTGGCCAGGTTTTCTGAGCCCTCAGACCAGAAAAACCAGAAAAACCAACGCCTGGCCAGGTTTTGTGGGCTCCCAGACCAGAAAAACCAGAAAAAAGACGACGCCTGGCCAGGTTCTGCGAGCTCCCAGACCAGAAAAAAAAACGCCTGGCCAGGTTAGCGGGAGCTTGCAGGCGAGGGCGGGGCGAGGACAATCCTGGCGAGGAAGGGGCGAGGAAGCGGCGAGGAGAGACAGACAACTCGAAGGTTCATTTCAGAACCCGCCAAAAGGTAGATTTTCGGGGGGTGCGACCATGTAGTTCACACCGTGCCCTGTTCCAGTCATTCCTCCTCCTCCTCCCTTCTTCCTCGTTATCTTCCTTCCCCTCCGTTGTCCCCCTTCCTCATTTGTCCCACTTGCGTCGTGTGCCCGTGGTGAATGTGAAGCACAGATGAAGCGCAGCTATTGCACGGAGTATGTTAAGTTACCACCGCCCCCAAACTACAGTTGACGGGAGAGAAGGCGGGGCGTAACGCTCCAGATAACATAGGGGCGAAATGCTCCAGCCAGGTGCGGGGCGAAATGCTCCAGGGGGCGGAATGCTCCACATCACGTAAGGGCGAAATGCTCCAGCCAGATACGGGGCGAAATGCTCCAAGGGGCGTAATGCTCCAGATCACGTAGGGGCGAAATGCTCCAGATCACGTGGGGGCGAGATGCTCCAGCCAGATACGGGGCGAAATGCGAAACCTCGACACGTTCGTCGATCTGATGTGATGCAGTACGTTCGTGAGTACCAGTACTGGTTCGTGACCAAGAAGGAGGACCGCCTGGTGGCGTTCGGGAAGGCTTGCAAGGATTACGCCTGAGTCTGAGGCGTTTGGGGGTAGCTTCCAGAGCAGCGTTGCAGTGACGCTCTGGGAGTACTTCGCTAGAACCACTGCGCGCTTTCTGATTAGTCTGGGTAAAGAGCGATCGCCCGCTCACGGCGGGGGCAGAACATTAGCGAAACATTGAGCCAAAAAGGATGAGACTAACCAAATAAACAAACAAACAAATACATATATATATATATACCGTTGAAAAGACATGGGCGACACAATAAAGAAAACACACTTAACACGTGATGCAATGCAAAGATACGCGGCTGAATTAGAAAAGCCGTCGGGAACGTCCAGAAACCGAGACGGCTGGGGGAAGGGTCGGGACTTGGGGGACGCCGTCCTGAAAAAATCAGGACGTCGCATGCTCGGGTCGTGGGCGGGGCCCCTGGGCCGCGACCCCGCGGGCACGGGGCGCGTTTCCCCGCATGCCCCGCGCGGAACGTGCCCATGCGGCCGGAGGAGGAGGAGGAGGAGGAGGAGAAGGAGGAGGAGGAGGAGGAGGAGGAGGAGGAGGAGGAGGACGGAGGAGGAGGAGGAGGAGGAGGAGAAGGAGGAGGAGGGGGGAGGAGGAGCAGGAGGAGCAGGAGGAGCAGGAGGAGGAGGAGGAGGAGGAGGAGGAGGAGGAGGGAGGAGGAGGAGGGATCGCGCCCCGGACTCCAGACCGCGAGGGCGCGGAGACGGACCTGTTCGCCGCTCGCGGCGGGCCCCTTCCTGGCCGGGGCGGGGAGCTCTCCAGAGCCACCGCTTGGGGGATCGTCGGGGGACCCCGGCAGGCGGCGGGCCGAGGTCCTGGCGTTCCCATGTTTTGCCAGCCGGGCGTTTGCGCAAGGTTTCAGGACCCTCCTCCTCCTCCTCCTCCTCCTCCTCCTCCTCCTCCTCCCGGTTTGGAACATGTCGCAGAAGGATGGGGTCCAGGGCTTTCGATGTCGAATTTTTTCGCGCCGTCGGATCTCAGGGGACGGTGCACGTATTCGGCCCCTGGGGGGGGCGAAATGTTCCCATATCAACCGCCTGCCAGCGTTCCAAAATCTCGGTCCCCCAGAGGGTGGTTCTGGTCGAATCCCCGCCTCGCATCGTGGGTCAGGCCAGGACCAGTGCACGTGCCTCCCCGGCCCAGCCAGGAGGGCGCAGACGCCGATCTTGGGCTCAGGGATCCCAGAAAGCCTCTGACGTCGTGATTTCCTCGCGATGCGAACCTCTCGAGATCTAGACCCCTTCCCCGGGACCGCTTTCTCATCTTAAGCCGTGTTTGGGGCAGGCCCGGGCCCAGCGGGGGCCCAGAGGTTGGAAATTGCTGAAGACCTCCCGCCGAGGTTTTTTCCCAAACCATGCCCGCGAAAAACGGCCGCAGGATGACCCTGGATAGTCTTAATTACCCAGACATGCTCGCGTCCTGAACACAAACAGGACGCGAGGTTGTTGATCGTTTGGGGCCTCTCGGGGCCCTTCGCCTCTGGAGGTCTTTCGTTTTGACCCCCCCCTCACTGTTTTCTCCTGCTCCTCCTGCTCCTGCTCCTGCTCCTCCTCCTCCTCCTCCTCCTCCTCCTCTTCCTCCTCCTCCTCCTCCTCCTGGACCCCACTGGGCCTCCTGGGATGGCTGGCGGCGCGGGAGAGGGGGCCATGGAGCCCCCTGCCCCACCCCTGACTGCCGCCACCCTCTCTCGGGCCGCTCTGGACAGGGGCGCCGTCAGGGTCGACAAAGCCAGGGGGGCGGGACGCAAACTCGTGTTCCGCCGAAATTTGGTTTTCTGCAGCAGGTGTGCCAGGTACGCCCACGACAGGTGGTCGGGCCTATCTTCCCCATGTCGCCCTGGGGCCCGAAGGGTGATCGGGGGTAGGCTGAATCGTCTGTGGGAAGGTTTGCACCCCACCACTAAGAAGCCCCTCTGAGATACGCCCTCGAGGGCACCGGTTTTCAGGCTCGGCTCGGGGACGGCCCGAAACGGCCAGGCAACCCACGGCGCGATATCTTGGGACATCGCGACCCGTCTGACCCGCATTACTCCTCCTTCTCCTCTTCTTCCTCTTCCTCCTCCTCCTCCTCCTCCTCCTCCTCCTCCTGCTCCTCCTCCTCCTCCTCCTCCTCCTCCTCCCCCCCTCTTCCTGCTTCTCCTCCTCCTCCTCCTCGTCCTCTTGCTGTTCCTCCTCTTGGTCGCGGCGGAGATTATTTTCCCTCTATTGTTGGGTGGGCTGGACACTGTTGGGGGCTTCTGTCTTCCAGGGAATAACCCATTGCTGGTTACCCTACACGCGAGAGGGTTTTCGAGCATCTTCTCATCAGGATTGCAATATGAGTCAGTGGTTGTGGTTGCAGTCGTGATTGTAGTCGTGGTTGCGAAGGTGATTGTAGTCGTGACTGTAGTCGAGATTGTAGTCGTAATCTCAGTCGCGGTTGTAGTCGCAATCACGTTCGTAATCATAGTCGTCGTCGTCGTCATCGTCGTTGTCGCGGAGGCGATCCGTTTCAGAGAGTAATCCCTTGCGGATTACCCTACACGCGGGAGGATTCGTGAGCATCTTGTTATGAGGATTGCAATCGGAATTAGTTGCGTTGGTCGTAGTCGTAATTATAGTCGTCGTTGTAATCGCTTTTGTTGCCGTATGTAGTCGCTGTTTTAGTCGTCATCGTGGTCGTGGTTGTGGGCGCAATCGTAGTCGTAATCATAGTCGGCGTCTTCGCGGCGGAGATTATGTTCCCTCTAGTGTTGTGCGGGCTGGATAAGGGTGGGTTTTGCTCGCTCCCAGGGAATCGTCCATTGTGGGCTATCCTACACGCGAGAGGACTGCTGAGCATCTTGTCGTCGTGATTGCGAGACGAATCGGTGGTTGTGGTTGCAGTCGTGGATATAATCGTGAGTTGAAGCCGCGATTGTTTCGTTATCGTACTCGTGGTTGTAGTCGTAATCTTGTGTGCTCGCAGTCGTAATCGTAGTCGTAGTTGCAATCGTAGTCGTCGTCGTCGTCGTTGTTGCGCGGCGGGTGCCGCGTATAACATTTCTTTCCCACTGATAAGGTCGCCGAGCACATGTCCGGTGGGGCCCAGTCCGGTGGGGCCCCAGTCCGTCAACAAGGTCGCTGAGCACATGATTAGTTCCCAAATATTAGGTGGGTCTGAAAAGCCTATCGGTGTTAACGTGCCCCAGGGCAGTAAAACAACGTCTCAGGATAATGCCGTTCCCGGGAAAAGTCTACATTTCTAAGGGCACCGAATTGAAACAAAAATGATGTCGCACGTTTGTGTTCGCGACGCGGGAGAAAAAAGAATCGCGCCGCCCCAGCTTGCCCCGAACAACGCGGCCAGGGGCCGCGGAGGAGCCAGACAGGCTCGGCTCGAGCCAGGGCGGCTTGAGACAGAGGGGCTTGAGCCAGAGAGGTGCTCGGATCGGCGCGGGGGATGCTGAGGGGATAGAGGGGCTTCTCGGTGGATGCCAAGGTGGGTCATATCTGGCCGAACCTAGCTTTTAGGTAGGCTACAACTGCCCCAAGCGGCTCAGGGGGGTTAGCCGGGTTAGCGATCCAGGCCAAGTGGGCCCCGCCCATTTGGCAGAATTATCTGACCACCCTGCGCCACTTGGGGCATTCGCAACCCGCTTGTGAGCTGGGTTCGGCCAGATAGAACCCACCTACCTTGGGGTCAACCGAAAACCCTTCCATGACCTCAGCAACCCCCGCGCCGGTCCCGGCACGAAAGAGAGGAGGCCCAGGCATCGGCCTGCCCGACCCAGAGATCCGATGTCGTGACTTGTTCAATGCGGGGTCCCCAGAATGCTCGACCCCGTCCCCATTGCACGGCCCCGGGGCCCGGTGAGGGCCCCCATAGAGGCCGACCACGGCGAAACGCCTCCGTCTCGGAGAGGTGCATTGCCGGTGCAGGCGTGCACACGGCGCCCTCCGGGCCCCGCCCCCCGAGCGGCCGCGCGGGCCCCATGGCGGCCCTGGCAGCATTTGCCGGCGGGCGCACCCGGCAGGCGGCCGCCGCGCGCCCGGCGCGCGGCGCGGTGGCCGCGGCGGTGGCGTCGGCGCTGCTGGCGCTGCTGTGGCGGCAGTGGCGGCGGTGGCTGCTGCGGCGGGCCGCCCGCCAGGCCAGGGTGAAGTCGGGCCTGTCCCGTGGAGGAGGAAAAGCTACCCATACCTCTACCCCTCGCCCGTTTTCCCCCTTTTGGGCCTCCTGGGAGGCCCTCGCCGCCACCGCTGGATTCGCCTCGAAATCCTGGTCAGAACGCACCCCGGGAGAGGTCCAGGGAGTAGCGGTATCGGTACCTTTTGGTCTCCCCAGTCCCTCTACAGGAGTCGACTAGACGTAAGAGTAACCGCATGCCGATGATAATAAAGGGACCCCCCCCCCTTCAGTGTTTAGAGTTGATTATCGTCGCCCTATACAAAATTCAAATTGGGCGGCGAGCGCTGAGGCCGAACTTCATTATCACCTCGAAACGCTATGTTGAGATAGCAACATCAAGCGATGTTGATATAGCAACATCAAGCGAAGCGATCACACTTTTTCAGGATGTGTCAAGCGAAACCAATAATTTTGGGAGGCAGACTCAAACGAAACGAGCAATGTTTCAAGGATGTCTCAAGCGAAACCAGCAATTCTGTGAGGATGTCTCAAGCGATTCGAGAAGCTTGTCGAGGGTGTCTCAAGCGAAACAAGCATAAACTCGAGGATGTCTCAAGCGAAACAAGCCTATACTGAACGATGTCTCAAGCGAAACGATACGTTTCTGAAGGATGTCTCAAGCGAAAACAGCAATTCTGTGAGGATGTGTCAAGCGAAACCAAGAATTTTGGGAATTTTGGGAGGTGAACTTTTTTATCCCTGGGGTTGATTATCCATGGAACATGAAGCACATGAGCTACCCTACACGAGCACTTAAAAACATCAATTTTCATAAAGCGTTCGTAAATTAAAATTGATAGATTTGGAACTTTGGATGTTTCCTTTCTTCGTCCTCTTCTTATTATCCTCTTCTTCTTCTTTCTTATTATTATTATACTGTATTCTTCTTCTTTTATATTTCTCTCTGTCCCCACGCTCGCCTGAACTTTTTTATCTCTGGGGTTGATTATCCATGGAAATTGAGGCACACGAGCTACCCTACACGAGCACTTACAAAAAACAGTTGTCATAAAGCGAAATACGCAATAGTTTCAGGATGTTTCAGGCGAAATCAGCAATAATTTGAGGACGTTACAAGCGAAAAACACAATTATTTCGAGGATGTCTCAAGCGAAATAAGCAATCGTTTGACTGTGTCTCAAGCGAAATGAGCAATAGTTTGCGGATGTCTCAAGCGAAACAAGGGATTTGTCGAGGATGTCTCCAGCGAGATAAGCCATTGTTGAGGATATTTCTATGAAAACTAAACGCCAAGGATGTCTCAAAACGTGCTCGGCTTGGTCTCCTCTTGATCATCTCTTACTTCGAGATTATGCTGAGGTCTGCTGGGCTACTTTTATTATCTCTCCCTGAACCCCGAACTTTATTATCCCCTAGTGTTTATTCTCACGGGCATGAGGTTAACCTTTCGCCGGAGTGACTTTTGGTGCGGGCACAGGTGGGCCCCCAGGTGGCGGAACGCGCAGCGGCAGCAGCGGCTAGCGCGCCTGGAGTTGGCCTCCCCGCGGCCCCCCCAAAGCCGCGCACCAAAGGTCACTCTTACCCAGGGTCAGTCTTACGTGTAGCCGAAGGAGGAAAATCCAAAAAAATGTCAAAAAGATATGGGAACATCTTTTTTAGTATTTTGTAAGGCCCGTATGGGGGACAGCCCGACCTAAGGCCAGGGCGGTGAGATTTCGGGGCCTCCCAGATCAAGCGATCGCAGACGTGGATTCAGGGGGCGTGGATTAGCGACGGGCCCCGTTTCCATGGGACATCGTGGATTGCCGCCGCCGAGTGAGGCGGCACCGGCCGCATCTTGGGGAGGGCACCTCCACATCCATGGATTTGGCGACCGCGCGCCAAATCCATTCCATGTTTGCGCGCCCCCGACCAGATTGGGTCGAAGCAGGTGGGTCGGATCATTGCGCCGCATTGCCGATGCATCGGCGATATGGCTCGATGTGGAGGGGACCTGGTCTTTTCCACGCCGACGTCGCCGATGCATCGCCGACGCCACCTGTGTGTCGGCGATGCATCGGCGACGCGGCGCGATTCTCCGACCCCCCTTACACTGGGACCTCATCTGGGAGGCCTCCAGGACAGGAGCAGGGCCGCGAGACGATGTTCGCAACCGCCACCGCGCGCAGCTTGCAGCCCAGACGCTGACACAAAGACCACGTTGGGCTCAGGCGGGGCTCCGGTTTTGGGGGGCGTTCTTTGAATCTTGGCCGGGGGACCTGTTCGTGGCCGAGGCTCGCGGCAGCTTGAAGAAAAGCCCCTTCGTTCCATGTTCAGCATTCCTTAAGATAGCGCGATGTTGTAAAGTGGTAGCTCTTCGAGGTGGGTTCGCGAGCGGGGGCCGTGAGGCGGTGCCAGAAGTGGTCCTGGCCCAGGGTGATCCCAGCTTTTCGTGTCGGCCTCCGGGCCTCGTGATGGGGTGCTGTGTAAGCTATCTGCGCGCTCCCTGGGGGAGCGGGGGCCACCTCGGGCCAGCGCCTCTGCTGGCAACGCCCGAATGCTCGCAGCCACCACCGCGCCATAGCTCCTGCTCCTGGTGCTGGTCCGGCTACACACGTATGTGCGGCCGTCTGCCGTCCCTGGACATCGGGTGTTATGCTATGTCCTGGCCGCTATGCCATGTTCCTGGGTTTGGTTTCGGTCTCATGCTTCACACGTGCAGACGGCCGTCAGTCGTTCCTGGCTCCTGGCATGCACGCTGCCGTTTTGCACCGGCAGTTCTGCATAGTATCAGCTTGGTTCTGTTGGGGTTGGTTTACACGCGTATGTACGGCCGTCAGCCGTTCCTGGCCTTCGGGTGCTTTGCTTTGCCCTGGTCGCTATGCCACTCCTGGATTGGTTTCGGTCTCCTGCTACGCACGTGCAGACGGTCGTCAGCCGTTCCTGGATTCCTTACCCTGGCACAGCTAATTACTTTCGTGGCAAGTGATGTGTGGAAGCCACTAGCATCGGCATCCTGGCCTGCGATTCCTGCATTTCCCCACCAGCCTGATTCAGTTTGGCCTGGCAATTTGTGATGTTGGACCGCGTCCGACCTCCTGGCCCTGGCGCCCCCAGCCCTCTGCAGCGCAGCTCGGCGGCTTAGGCAGCTTAGATTTGACCCGGCGCTCTAGTTTGCTGCTCGGTGTAAATTAGTAAGGACCGCGCCCCGGACTTACCGACCCGCCGCCTGCGCCTTCGCTTGCGACCGCGACCAAAACCAAGTAACCCCACCAGCCCATCCAGAAACGATGCCAAGAGGATTTGCCTCCATCAGGGAAGTCGGCAGCACACAAAGGGAGGGTCCCCCAGTGGAGGCCTCGTGGAGCGTCTTGGGGGCCTCTTGGCGGTCCTGGACGCCTCTTAGAGCGTCTTGGGTGCTTCGCAGAGCTTCTTAGGGCCTCTTGAGGGCCTCTTGGAAGCCTCTTGGGCGCCTGTTGGGGCCTCCTGCTCCTGGGGCCTCCTCGGTGCCTCTTGGGGCCCTCTTGAAGCGCTCTTGGAGCCTTGGGAGCGCTCTTGGAGCCCTCTTGGGCCATCTAGGAGCCATCCGGAGGCCTCGGATGGCCATCGGAAGCGAAAAGGCTCAAAGAAAGGGGAGTTCTTAATTAGCTTCGCCCCTCGGGAGCCCCCCAAGCCGCCTCTTTGAGCGTTCTTTGGGCGCTTTTGGAGCAATCGTGGGCGCTCTTGGGGCCGTCTTGGGGCTCCCTTGGGCCCCTCTTAGGGCTCTCTTGGGCCATTTTGGGAGTTATCTTAAGGCCTCGAATGGCGATCGGAAGCGAAATGGCGAGAAAGCAACACACACTGATGTTCTAAGGTTTTTGCAGGAATTTGGCCTCCTGGGGACATCAATGGGAACTCTTTTGACATCTTAGGGCCGTCTTGGGGCAGTCTTGGGGCGTCTTGGAGCATCTTGGGAGCCATCTCGAGGCATCTTGCGTGCGCTATCTTGAGCCATCTTGGAGCTCATGTTGGGCTCTCTGACGCCCTCTTGGGGCCATCTTGGGCCATCGTGGACGCCCTGACCGCTCGCGGGGCGCCCGGTCCAGGTCCAGGGGAGGGGGTATGGGGGAGGGGTCAAGAGTCTCCTCCCCGCCCGCAAACCGTCTCGCTCACTCCCACCCGCCCTCCCAACACACACGTAGCACCCGAGCCTGGCCCGAACCGCCGCATATGCAGCAGTCGTCTTTGGATGGGCAGGTACTGGGGGCCAATCCGCCGCCTCCGCTGCCGCCGCCCGCCGCCGCCGCTGCCGCGCCGCCGCCGCCGCCGCCGCCGCCGCAGTCCGCCGCCGCCGCCGCTACCGCGCCGCCGCCGCCCGCCGCGCCGCCCCCGCTGCCGAATCGCCGCCGCCGCAGCCGCTGCCGCCGGCCGCCGCGCCCGTCGCCGCCGCCGCCGCCGCCTCCGCCGCCGCCGCCGCCCCGCCGCCGCCACCGCCGCAGCCGCCGCAGCCGCTGCCCCCGCCGCAGCCGCCGCAGCCGCCGCCGCCGCCGCCAAGTGTACTACTTTGTTTTGTTGTTTGACAGAGATGGTGGGTGGAGGCCGCATCGGGTTCGCTGCGCATGTTCCGAATTTGGAAGCAGAGTGTGTTTTGTAGCGTCGTTTACAAGGGATGGTGGGGCAGAGTGGGTTTTGCATTGTTTGTTACAGGGGATGGGTGGGGCCCGCGTGGACCTGGGTTGGTTCCCGGTCGTTTGGGGGAGGGGGTGTATACTAATAGGGAACAGTGATCAAGATTCCCCCCCCGCCCGCAAGCCGTCTCGCTCACCCCCACCCGCCCTCCCAACACAAACGTAGCACCCGAATCTGGCCCGAGCCTCAGCATATTCAGCAGTCGTCTTTGGATGGGCAGGTACTGGGGGCCAATCCGCCGCCGCCGCCTCCGCTGCCGCCGCCGCCGCCGCCCCCGCTGCCAAATCGCCGCTCCCCCCGACGCCGCCGCCACCGCCGCCGCCGCCGTAGCCGCCGCAGCCGCCGCCGCCGCCCCCGCCACCGCCGCCGCCATTGCCGCCGCCGCCGCAACCGCCGCTGCCGCCGCCGCAGCCGCCGCCGCCGCCAAGTATGTTTTGTATTGTTTGTTGGCAGGGATGGTGTGGGGAGGCCGTATCGTATTGGCTGCGCTTGCTCCGAATTTGGAGGCAGAGTGTGGTTTGCATTGTTTGTTTACCAGGGATGGTGGGGGGGTGCCCGCATGGTTCTGGGTTGGCT